TCAGCACCCCTAGCAGCACCTGAGTCGACAGCTACCTCGACCGGCTCGGCAGGGTCTACCTGGGACACACCTGAGGGGGCAGGACCCTGGGGGGGGAGGTGGTCTACCAGGGGAGTACCTGGTGCCAGGAAGAGTGGCGGGGGGGGAGGAGAGGCAGTGCGGTAGGGAAAGAGACGGTAGTACGACACCGACTCGTCGAACGTGACGTCCTGAGAGGACAGAACACGACGCGAGGTGGGGTGGTAGAACTGCCACCCGGGTGCGTCAGGAGGGAAGCCAAGGAAGACACAGGGAACGGCACGGGAGGACAGCTTGTCCGCTGTAGTATCGCGGACAAAAGCTCGAGATCCCCAGACTCGGAACGCTGACGCATCGCCAACCTTCCCCGTCCACCTCAGTGTAGGTGTGGTCTCCGGCAAGGAGACTCGAGGCTGAAGGTTGATCTGATGCACAGCGTACTGAACCGCGAACGGCCACAGAAAATGGGGAGCAGCCGCATGGATCATGGACGTACGAGCGACGTCCATGACCATGCCAATGCGGCGCTCAGCAATCCCATTTTGCTGCGGGGAGGCCGGAAGCGTGAACGTCTGGCGGATGCCCTCAGAACGACAGAAGGCTCTCAGGAGGTCGGAGGAAAACTCCCCGCCTCTGTCTGAGTGCAGACGCAGAACAGGAAGGTCTGAGGCGAAACTCTCACTAAGCTGGCGACGAGCACCGCGGATCCAGTCGATCAACACCTCAGTGACCTCACCCTTGCTGCGCAAGGGGAAGACTGTGGTGTAACGCGAGTAGTCGTCAACGACCAGCAGGAAGTAACGCTCGTGACCCTGTCCACGGATGCGGGCTGGGCCCCACACGTCCATGTGAAGAGTCTGCAGAGGGGCCTCAGTCGGAGGAAACGAGGAGGAGTGAGGAGCGGCGCGCTGCCGGCCCTCGACACAAGGAACACATTTGGGGGCAGGCCCCGGAGGAAGGGGAGGGAGGGACCTGGGGAGTCCAGAGACAAGAGCACGGGAGGCCATACCTCGAAGACGAGGCAGGGAGGGGTGACCAAGGCGGTGGTGCCAAAGGAGAGTCTCGTGCGCCAGAGGACGACACGAGCAGGGGGCAGACGCAGGACTAGACTTGGACGCGGCAGCAAACACCTGACTGGACGCAGCTACCTGACCAGACGCAGGGTCCGGAGGAGGCGCAGTAGTCAGTGTGTACAGACTCGACCCTGGCCGACGGGTGAACGTGGCCAGGTGGCGGCCCGTCCGAGAGCAAGTGCAGTGGGTCACACGCTGACCTCCAGGGGTGAACTGGTCAACCCACGCGTCCTGGAGGTCAGCTCCACTCACCAAGTTCGTAGAGAACGAGGAGAGGTGGAGTCCCGACAGCAAGCCCGACGGGGCCGCAGGACACGGTAGAACCATGGAGGAGTGTGCAAGGACTGGGCCCCCGGAGGGGTCAGCAAGGGAGACCGCAACAGGCCGACTGAGCGGCGTGAGCGTGGTGCTGTCTCTAAAGAAAGAGCGCGAAGCACCAGAGTCAAGTGTGAAAGTGTGAAGGGACTCAGTAGGTGCAGTACCAGAGAGAGGAGACGTACCAGCACCTGGAGCAGCAGACGCACTAGCACCTAGAGCAGCAGCCGCACTAGCACCTAGAGCAGCAGCCACAGTGCCCGGGTCGGGCGGGACACGCAGGTAACAGTCACCCTCAGTAATATCAGCAAAAGCATACATGGCAGCAAGGATAGCATCAAAGTCTAGATCAAAGATAGGCACATTCTGCAGAAGCAGATCATGCCAACGAGGAAGCTCAACGGCGTCAGGAAACTGGGCACGCCAAGCGTCAGTCAAGCGGCCGAAGCAGCGCTGCGTGGTGTGTGGGAGACCACACACCTCCCCACTCCGAGTGCCGGTGCGAAGAACGTAAGAGCAGGGACCCGCACCCCCAGACCTCCCACGCCCAGCGTACCACTCACGAAGCTGCTGAACCGACGGGGTCTCACGGGTGCGCTGCTGCTGCTGGCGCTGGCTGCCACCAAGGCCTCCACGCTGCGTGGCTGCACCGCGACCAGCACCACCTCCTCCGCTACCTCCACCACCGCTGCCGCCGCCTCCACTCCCTCCGCCACCGCCGCCACGGCCTCCACTGCCGCCACCGACTCCCCCACTCCCTGTACCACCCCCACCACCACCTCCACCTCCTCCACCGCCTCCACCGCTTCCCCCACCGCCCCCTGCACCACCCCTGCTTCCCTTGCCCTTGCCGGTGCGGTGTCGCCCACTAGAGGCAGACGCAGCGCCGACCTCCTCAGTGCCAACGAGGTCGACAGCAGCAGCAGAGGCAACAGAGGGGAGAAGGGGGACAGGGGAACACCCCTCAAAGAAGGGGGTGCGACGGTCGCCGCGAGAAGCACCTACAGCTAAGATACTCTTCTCAGCTGCAGCAAGGCGCTCCTCTAGCAAGTCGACAGTCAGCTCGGTGGGGCAAAGGGAGAGAAAGTGGTCCCTGACTGAAGAGAGAGAGTCAGGGAGGCGGGTGACTAGGTAGTAAAGGGTGATGTACATGGGGGGGGAGTTCGTGGGAAGGAACTCAGTGGGAAGGGCAGCGCGGTAGCGGGCGTCACTGGTGCGAAGGTGAGCAACCAGGTCAGCAACTGTGGCAAAGGCGGCAAGGTCAGGAAAAAGGTACGGCAGCATGAGGCGGCTGAGGGCAGCAGTGGCAGGGGAGCTGTAGCGTGCAACTACAGCGTCGTACAGAGTCTTAGCACTCTTGTACTGACTAAAGTGCGCGCGCTCAGTAGACGATAGGTGACTACGCACAGCAAGGCGGGCAGCAGCATCGCGCGTGGTCCACTGCGAGCGAACAGTACTGTCAGCATCAGCAGCAGGGGCAGTAGAGGCGCCAGACGTGAGATCGAACAGTGAGAGACCGTCCTTGCTATCGCACTGTAGGAAAAGCTGCAGATCATCTAGCCAGACCTCAAAGTCAACTGCCCGACCCTCAGCATCAAAAGCAAGGACACTGAGACTAGCCATGACAGCAGCAGCAGTAGGCTAGCAGCAGCAGCAGTGCAACTCAGCTAAGCAGGCTAGGCAGGGCAGCGCGACTTGGCAGGGCGGCTCGACAGGGTGGCACGGCACGGTGGAGCAGTGCGGTTCGGCAGCGCGGCTCGGCTCGGCGGTGCGCTTACCAGGGGCGAGGCCGGGGCAGGGCCGGGGGAGGGTCGGGGCAGGACTGGGACAGGTCCGGGGTAGGGCCGGGGCCGGTCCGCAAGAGATCCGGGGCCGGGCCGAGGCAGGGCCGCGACAGCACAGGAGCAGGGCAGGGGCTGAGTCGGGGCAGGGCCGGGGCAGAGCCGGGGCGAGGCCGCGACAGGTCCGGGACAGAGCCGCGACAGGGTCGGGGTAGGTCCGGGACGGGGCCACGACGGGGCCGGGGCAGGGCCAGGGTCGGGGGAGGTCCGGGACGGGGCCGCGACAGGGTCGGGGCAGGGCCGGGGTCGGGGCAGGTCCGGGACGGGGCCGCGACAGGGTCGGGGCAGGGCCGGGGTCGGGGCAGGTCCGGGACAGGGCCGGGACGGGGCCGGGGAAGGGCCGGGGCGGGCCGCGAAGGGGGCCGCAACTGGCCTAACGGGCCGCGAAGGGGCCGCGACAAGCCGCGACGGGGCCTAACGGGCCGCGAAAGGGGCCGGGGAAGGGCCTGGGCGGGCCGCGAAGGGGCCGCGACGGGCCTAACGGGCCGCGAAGGGGCCTAACGGGCCGCGAAGGGGGGCCGCGACGGACCTAACGGGCCGCGAATGGGCCTAACGGGCCGCGACGGACCTAACGGGCCGCGAAGGGGGGCCGCGACGGACCTAACGGGCCGCGAATGGGCCTAACGGGCCGCGAAGGGGGGGGCCGCAACGGACCTAACGGGCCGCGAAGGGGGGGCCGCGACGGACCTAACGGGCCGCGAAGGGGCCACTACGAGCCGCAAGGGGGCCTAACGGGCCGCAAGGGGGGCCGCTACGGGCCTCAAGGGGGGCGCTATAGGCCTCAAGGGGGCCACTACGGGCCGTGAAGGGGCCGCGACGGGCCGCGAAGGGGGCCGCGACGGGCCGTGAAGGGGCCTAACGGGCCGCAAGGGGCCACTACGGGCCGCAAGGGGGCCTAACGGGCCGCAAGGGGGGCCGCTACGGGCCTCAAGGGGGCCGCTACGGGCCTCAAGGGGGGCCGCTACGGGCCTCAAGGGGGGCCACTATGGGCCGTGAAGGGCAGGCGCGACGCGCGCGTCGGGCAGGTAAGGAAGAAAAATATTTTCAGTGGTGGGCCCTTAGGAAAAATCGAAACTAGCTCTATACCATGTGAGAATTGAGGAATGAATGAACTAGAAACGAGATGGGTACAAGTGGAGAACACAGAAGTGTTGTACCCTCTAGGAACTACCCCACTACAGCCTAAACAGACTAAACGCACTGTCATCAGGGCCCAAAATTAGTTTAGGCCCACCCTGACAAATCAGGGTTCCAGGCCCTCCTTACCCTGACCCGTAGGGTAACAATTTTCGTACCCTGCTGGCAGCAGGGTAAAACGTTTTGCACCCCGCTGGCAGCAGGGTAAAAAAAATCGTACCTTGATGCATAGGACAGCACAAAACTGTCATTGACGCGCAACTTTGATCAGCTGACGAAATTGAACTGAAATGGTTGGAATGTTGACCGTTGATCAGGCCCTCAGATTCACTTTGAGGCACGTAAGGGTATCAGGGTCCCTCTGGCCCTAGACCCTGATCGACAGGGTCACCTAGGAAAAAAGCCTGAAAGTTCAGTGTTACTTAAAAAAAAAGTCTGATGCATCAGTGTCACCTATAGAAAAAGGCTGATAGTAGTGAAGCTGATTTTTTAACTTAAAACTCTATGAAGGTCGCAAACAGCCTTCAATCTATCTATCTGTGTTGTAAACCAAAGCCTATCTTGCTTGCTAGCTAGCTATGCATTGCATCCAGCATGACTCTGGGTCTGGGTGAGTTCAGTAATCATCATCTGATGAGGCCTGCTTGTCATCATCATCTTCTCTTCCCTTAGCCTGTCGTTCTGCCCACTCTTCCTCCTCTAGGGCCTCCTTTCCCGTGCTATCCCTGCCCTCTCCCTCTCTTTCGGGTGGTGCCGCCACATTGCCGAATGGGCGGCGCTTCTTGTAGCTGCGCCAAATCTGCACCACCTCATCGTAGTTGGGCTCGTACTCGAGTAGAGACATGGTGACGAGGTCTTCGAGGCGGGCGTCCTTCAAGCTCCCCCGCTGCCACGATTTGATAACGTTTTGGCGTGAGAAGCCGCGCTCACACTCCACTGTGCTCAGCGGCAGCACGGCGATAGCCACCCAGAGACGCACCAGATTGGGGTAGCCAGTCGCCCAGTCGCTTGTCTTCAGCATTGCTGTTAGGCCTGCGTGGAAGCTCCGCTCGTTCTTCGGGGCACCTGCGAGGATGGGGCAGAAGGCCCGCAGCTCCTTGATCGCACGCCGCTTGTCGACCCCTGCCACATAATGCGGAAGGGAGAGAGAGAGGGGGTTTTTGAAAGGCTGGCAAGTGCGTACACCATACGTTGATGAAATGCAATGACACAATAAGACGGACAGCAACAGTGCGAGAGCGGGAATACCTGGAATGATGTAGTCCGTGTCCTGTGCCCTGAACAGCCTCACGAGAGACTCGAGCCACTCGAGACACTGCCTGTGGCGCTCTGCTCTCCCCAGCTCCCACTCGTCAGGCATGAACAGCCGCACTCCCACCAGGGAGTCCAGGTCCTGGAACCGTGTGCTGAGGTTTTGCACGAGCGTCTCGGCGAAGGTGGTGCAGAGATCGACGCAGGCGTCGTGGGAGCCGAGGGTCGGGTAGTCTTCGCTCGGCTTCTCGTGCAGCTCGAAGGTGTGTGTCGTGGGCCGCCTGTCCGAGTCGACTCCCTGCACCTTCACCTCGGGATTGCCCCCCTCAGGCCCGTGCTTCTTGATGAACGGGGAGAGGCGCGCGCTCACCCCGCCTCCAAAGTCGTCACCACAGTCGACGTAGCGGGACTCTAGGAATGAAATCGACCGGCGGATCTGCCCGTGGACACTTGCAATGTCCAGCTGTTAGGGGTCAACAGGGCGAACAGAGGATGGAGAGAAGGCCAAATCAGTGCAAAGCAGATTCTGCTTAAGCAGTACATCAAACAGTGACTCACAAACCGAAACAAGGCACACAATCCAACAACGATAGTAACCAAGCTCACCTCACGCTGCTGGAATGCCCTGTTTAGCACATTGAGCTGCTCGAGGACGTCTGCAAGGAAGTATAGCAGAAAGTGAAACCTGTAGCTCGTGGCGAGCTCGTAGAGGGTGATGTCCCACTCATACAGCATCACGATCAGCGCGGGGAAGACCTCTACCGCGCGCAGAATGGCGTCACCGCGGGAGAGCCAGCGGACGTCGTGGATCCCTTGTAGCTCCAGGTTTGTTTTCGTGAACACCTCCTGCAGGCCAATGAAGCGTTGATGCCACGGGCCAGAACGCCCCAAATGCTCTGCCACTTGGCGGAGCAGGGAGTCCACCATGCCGAACTCGGGGAGTTGTTCAGCGGCGTCCTTTGCTGCGAGGGCCTCCCTGCATGCACACCAGCATTAAAACCGGCTCAAGGAGGGGTTAGCAGGGGATGCAGCAGGGACTGTATGGAAGCAGTAAACAGAAGATGAAAACTGACCTGTGGGCGATGCAGTGGCTCGAAACAAGATGCGGGATGCGGAGGCGAAGTCGAGCGACAAGGCCGTTGTGTTTCCCCATCATCACACTCGCTCCGTCAGTGCTTATGCCGGATATCCTCGCCATTTCAATGCCTAGGGCTTGCAGGTGGGACAAGAGCACTGAGAGGAGAGAGGCTGCATCGCCCTTCTCCACGGTCAGCAGGGCAAGGAACTCAGTCACGGGACGATTTTCACGGATGAATGTCGCGAAAACAATCATATGCTTTCCCCGACACCTGTCCGTGCTTTCGTCGCACGTGACGCCAATGTATGGGCTGCTGAGGATGTGCTGCAGTTGCGTTGTGTGCAACCATGTGGCCATCGACTGTGTCAGCTGCCCGAAGCCGTAGCTGCAGCGCATGTCAAACAACACAATGTCAGATAATTCGGTTGAGTTTCACAAACACGGTTGCAGTTAGATTAATTCAACACTCACGTAGTATAATAGGTTCCGTAGCCTTTTGCTGGGAACCCGGGCACCTTGAGTCGCGCGAGGTAGCGCACAAGATTCACCCATAACTCTATGGGTGCATCTTGCTTGGTCACGAAGAGCAGGGAGTCGAGGAGCTTGACGACCCGCTCCTTCTCCGTGTCGCGAGCGAGATTGTCGCCGTTGATCCGTGGCTGCGTAGCGGCGTCGTCGAGAAGCTTCTGCTGGTGTTTCAACGCCTCCTTGTGCTTGGTAGTTGCCGCATGCCGTTTGAACGCCTGCGTCTGAACGTCTGTGGCGCCCTTTCCGCCTCTCCCACACGGTCCAGCGTAGCCTGCGTGCTCCGTACAGATGCTGCACTTGAAAGCGGGGAAACCGTCAGCTTTTTTTAGCAGAATAAGCCAAGAAAACCGCTCGAGCCACTCGCTTTTGTACTTATACAGAGCCTCCGCGTAGGTTGCGTCTGGCCCTGCCGGTTTAGAAGGCCCATGTGTTGAGGGCGACGCCTGCGTGCCTGCGGTCGCGGGCGTCGACAGTTGGTCGGCTGGCGAAGCCGGTGTTGCACCAGCGGGACCTCCCTTCTTGGGCCACGGCAGCGTTGACTGCGTGTACCTGGCGGACTTCTTAGCCACTGGCACCGCCGCGATTTCTTCACCTGAAGGGTTGGAGCTGTCTTGCTCCAACACGGGCGCAGTAGGGGAGGGACACAGAGGCTCGTCGATGGGTTCAAATGGAACATCGACGGTCGGCGCGACTGCAGGCGCCTTTCCATGGTTATCTACTGCCGCTAAGTTGGAGAATAGCAGATCCAGCCCGGTAACGGCCGCGGACAGATCAATTGGCGAACGACGAGCGGGTTCATCGCCGGGGTCATCAGGTCGTTCAATGGCGTCCGGGTGGACCGCCATTGATTGCGCTGTGAACAAGCAGCATCTAACGGGACTCCCTAGCTAGCTGAACGATGGAGGTTTGCCAGGAAGAGAGGACACACGGCTGACTGCCTCTTGGTACACCAGGCAGCAACGCGATGAAACCTTACACATGCTAGATGGAAGGAAAGCATGGAGCAGACTGGGGTGGGAGACTGGATGGCTGGCAGCACGGCTGGGCGGCGTGGATGCATCCGTGCTTGCCAGCACGACTTAGACAAAACGGGCCAGAGGACCACAGATGCTTCACATGGGCCTGAATCCCTCGTTGCGCTGCCTGCCAGCATCGCTGTGCTGCAACCCTGTAATTGGCCAAATCAGGAAATGCTGTCAAAGTGGCCAATCATCGCACCACGCGCGCCAACAACGCATCCCTCTACGAGGCAAATTTGTCTGCTACTCACCGCCACGCCCTGCTGACACCGCGGGAATCTGATATTCCCTGTACAGCCGGGCAACTACACAGGAACCGTGTAGGAATCGCTTTCAGGGTCGGATTCGTTACAACGTAGTGGAATCAGTGTCACTAAAAAAAATTTGCTGAAAGTTCAGAGTCATGTGCTAGGTGAAGGCTGAAAAATCAGCCCCACAAAAAGCTGAACACTGGAAAATCAGTGTAGGTTAAAAAAAAACCCTGGAAATCAGGAATTTCAGGGAAAAATTCCTGATATCGTAGGGCCTGCCGTTGATGAAGGTTGCTCTTCATCTGACGGATGCAGATGGCCTTGACCAAATTGAAGTGAGGTTGGAATTTCGGCCGTTGATGAAGTGAGTCTATCTGACGGACGCGGATGAACTGGCCCAAGATGAAAGAGAGTTTGAATGTGGGCCGTTGAGTGAGCAGGTGTAGATCTGACGGTCGAAGGCTAATGCGAAAAGGGGGAACCTGCTGACGTGACATTCAATCGCGAAGCGTGGTTCAGTTTGTCAGCATGCGAAGTATGGGCTGATCTGCGCTAAAAAAGTTTCGGTATCAGGGAAGTCTACACACAACCCTGATACCGTCAGGCCAACTATATTTCCTATCAGTGTAAAAAAAACCAAACTCTTTTTGCATGAGGGTAAAAATCACGGAATCCTGATTTTGACAGGGTAACTCTGAAAAAGCGGCCGCCCCCCAGGGTAATCAGGGCATTTTACCCTGATATTTTGGGCACTGACTGTCATATATGACAGCCATACGTAGTAGAACTGTACATATATCATGATCATGACTTGGCTCATTACACCCACTACACTCACACCGCCCGCTAACCTCTTCTATTCCTGCTTCACGTTTCCTTGCAGCATACCATTCCGAATCTGGGCAGAAATGTCAGAAATCTGAGAAGGTGCATGAGGAATGAACACCGTGTTGCTCTTGGCCGACGCTCCTATATCCTTCATAGTGTCAAAGTACTGCGTTACAAGCACCATATCCAAAACGTCCTTGGGTGTTGTTCCCGCCACTTCATGCGAGAATGCGAGGACGCTCTCTCTCAGCCCATCCACAATAGCCTGCATGTGCGGGCAACACAATAAACCAATCAATAACTCAGTATGCCACAATTATTAAATAGCACAGAAGGCAAATGAGCAGATTGGCTTTATGAAGTACATAGCAGGACAGTTTCCAAGCGTACATACCTGCCTCTGCCGAGCCACACCAACACCAGAGAGGTACTTTGCCTCGGCATCAGCCTCGGCACGCTTCACTTGAAGGATCTTCTCAGCCTCTGCCTTCTCCTGCGCTGCCATACGCATGCGCTGAGCTGCTCACATTGGGTCGAAAAGGGGAAACACAGTAGAGAGGGAAACAGCATCTGTCACAAAAGCGGAGCATGCTATGGAAAGGACGAAAAAACAGAGGTGCCACCAGCCTCACGTGACAGGAAACAGAGAACTTACGCAGGTCAGAGAGCAGTGAGCTATGGTTTTACTGGAAAGGAAGTAGAAACAGAGGCGCAGCACAGCTACCCTCACATGACAGGAATGGAGAACTTAAGCAGGTCAGTGAGCAGTGAGCTATGGCTTTACCAGCATTGATTTCGTTCATGGCTTTCCGCACGGTGGCATCAGGTTCAAT